GCACTTTGTGAACCTCCATGTGCAGATTTCGTGGCAGGTGCAGCACTGTGAACCTCCATGTGCAGACTTCGTGGCAGGCGCAGCACTTTCTGAACCTCCATGTGGAGATTTCGTGGCAGTCACAGCACTTTGTGAACCTCCATGCGCAGATTTCGTGGCAGGCACAGCATCTGGGGAGCTGGAAGCTGAGAACTGGCGACTTTGTAGTACAACTTTAGTACGCGGAGCAATTTGTGAGCTGGAAGCTGAGAACTGGCGACATTGTAGTACAACTTTAGTACGCGGAGTATCTGGCAAGCTGGACGATGAGAACTGGCGACTTTGTAGTACAACTGCAGTACGCGGAGCAATCTGTGCAGCTAGAAGCTGAGAACTGGCGACTTCGTAGTACAACTTTAGTACACGGAGCATCTGGCGAGCTGGACGAGGAGAACTGGCGACTTTGTAGTACAACTTTACTACGCGGAGTATCTGTGGAGCTGGATGGTGAGAACTGGCGACTTTCTAGTACAACTTTAGTACGCGGAGCAATCTGTAGAGCTGGAAGCTGAGAACTGGCGACTTTGTAGTACAACTTTAGTACGTGGAGTATCTGTGGAGCTGGATGGTGAGAACTGAACTAGCGACTTGCTAGTACAACTTTAGTACGCGGAGCAATCTGTAGAGCTGGAAGCTGAGAACTGGCGACTTTCTAGTACAACTTTAGTACGCGGAGCAATCTGTAGAGCTGGAAGCTGAGAACTGGCGACTTTCTAGTACAACTTTAGTACGCGGAGTATCTGGCGAGCTGGACGATGAGAACTGGCGACTTTGTAGTACAACTTTAGTACGCGGAGTATCTGTGGAGCTGGAAGCTGAGAACTGGCGACTTTCTAGTACAACTTTAGTACGCGGAGCAATCTGTAGAGCTGGAAGCTGAGAACTGGCGACTTTCTAGTACAACTTTAGTACGCGGAGCGATCTGTAGAGCTGGAAGCTGAGAACTGGCGACTGTGTAGTACAACTTTAGTACGCGGAGCAATCTGTAGAGCTGGAAGCTGAGAACTGGCGACTTTGTAGTGCAACTTTAGTACGCGGAGCAATCTGTTCAGCTAGAAGCTGAGAACTGGCGACTGTGTAGTACAACTGCAGTACGCGGAGCATCTGGGGAGCTGGAAGATGAGAACTGACTGGCGACTTTCCAGTACAACTTTAGCACGCGGAACAACCTGTGGAGCTGGAAGCTGAGAACTGGCCACTTTGTAGTACAAGTGTAGTACGCGGAGGAGTCATCTCTCGCTGCTGAGTCAGCTCTCGCTATAGCCATCTCTCGCGACTGAGTCATCTCTCGCGGCGTGCAGGTTTGGCACAGTTCATACTGATAGTATTTGGTTGCATTTATGCAGGACAGGACATTCAACTGCTGGTCAATACACCACTCATCATACACCGCTCAGCATACACCACTCATCATACACCACTCGTCATACACCACTCAACATACACCACTCAACATACACCACTCATCATTCACCACTCATCATACACCCCTCATCATACAAGACTCATCATACATCACTCATCATACACCACTCATCATAACCCAACACTGGTTGCAGTTGATTGTTTTGTTAGCAGGTCGGTTGGTTCAACACGCCGTTGTGGGCTGCTGATCTTGTCGTGGCAAAGATACAACCCAGTACGCTGTTGTGAGCTGCTGATCCTGCAGGGGGCACACACCTTACACACGTGGAGTCCCGTGGGTCAAAAGTCCGGAGCGCGTGCGTTTGACTGGAGGACGCGCATGTTGGAGAGAACGTGGACACTCCTATAGGTCAATTTGTTCTTATAGGAAACTTCCGCCGCCGGCTTGCCCGGGAACTGCGTGTAGATTGCCCACCAACCAATAGATGAGCTTATGTGTATGCATGTTCAGAATTTGTAAATATACAGTGGTAAACACATTGGAGCAAACGGGGGGGTAGGGATCCAAATGATAACTACTCAGTGATAGTGAAAGTCGCCTCAATATGGGCCACTAAGGGTCGCGTCGCTTCGGCACTGAAACATCAAACCATGGTCGCCGTCATGGATCCGCGGACCACGTCGATGGGCCGTCCCGGTCGTGCACGGGTCGTGCACGTCCCGGTTCATCGACCCGGGTCGCCCGGTCGCCATCGGTTCGCAGGTGGTCGACGAGGTGAACCGCCTGGCTGATAAGCTGGTGGCGTACCTTTGCGAGAGCCAGACCATCCAGGCGAGTCACGTGGGTGCGACCGTGGACGACCAGTGCAAGCGGTTGTTGACGGAGGTTGGTCAGAACTCAGAACTGACCATACCGGTCCACTGTAGGAGCTCGTTAGAATTTTGCAAGCCCTTTGCTGGTCCTGGACCTTCAGCCTCAAGGAATGGACCCAAAGCTTTCCCACGAATCCGCCGGCGCCCCAGCCGTTTTGGCGCCGTCTCAGAGACTCCAACCGCCTGCCCTGCCCGTGTCCACTGCGCCCGGGTGTGCAAAGTTCGCGCCCCGATGTCCGATCTCATGGGGCGGCCGTTGCTGCCAGAGCCGGCGGGCTCCGGGGGAAGTGGGTGGCCACAGCGACCAGCGAAGGTGGCCGAGGCTTTGAAAGCGGCCGACTTTGTGGAGAACCGGCTTTGTCGGAGTCGGTGGTGCTTGACAAACTGGACATGTTGAGCTATAGTTATACAGTGTTTCAATTTGAAGACGTTCTAAATACTGGTAGTAGTTTTTTTTTTACAGTACAGCTCGTGCGGCAGATCCAGATCAAACCCTTTCTCAGCAGAACCCTGGTGTTGGCAGAGATCATTGGGTAGAGGGGCACCCTGTCTGGACTGCGCGCAGAAATCTGCACTTCACGGACTACATGATCTACATGGCTGTGGGTCAAAAACCGGAGCCCCAAACCAGGGGTAGGTCGACCTCCCAGGTCATCCATTCTGTTCATTCCAGGTGGTCAACCAGGGCGCTCCGGTGCCATGACCCACAGCCACATTCCAACTTGTCCATAGGTGGAATGGGCTTCAGTCTCGACTAGATGAGCCCACGAACTTGGTCGACCAAGCAACACCTGCCGAGTTTGATCATGTTTGATCCACATCTGTGAAGTTTATAAGTTTGAACATCCTCTTCAGCAGGGCGTGTTGTCAGCCCAATGTATTTCGTGCTGCAAGAAAACGCCGATGCTGGGAGGACAGACAGGGCTGGCTTTCAGCCTGCAATGGTGCTCGCATTACTGTTCCTATGAAGAACTCGTAGGGAACACGTTCACATGCTCTTCATGGGCTGAGAGGTTTCGGAAACATCAAGTAGGAGCACCCTTTGCATGTGGGAGGAAGACGGTGCAGAATATTGAAAAATATTGAATATCCCGGTTGCCCTGCGTACAAACTGATCAGTCTTGCCGAGCATTATGCTGTTTCATGGTATGATGTGTGACGGGTTTAAGTGTGTGTGTTTTTAATGCTTGTGAGGCCCTTTGTAACCCCTTTGACCCTTGACAGCTTTTTTTGGCACATGAACAGGCAAGTGCCGTGACAGCCTGTGAAAGCAACAGAACAACAGTGGAACCTACACAACAGATCACCAAAGCCTTTTGGGCAAATGCTTCTCAGTGGCCGGATGCAGTCAGGGTTCCTGGCGTCCATCAGCATCGATCAACCCTGGGGTCAAAGGGTCACTTGGTCTGGCCAACATGCCCTGGCCAGCCTCCTATGCAGGTCTTTGCTGTGGCGCTGCTTTTGGCGTCCACGGCACAGCTCCTGGCCTTCTCCACAGGGCTTCAAGGCGAATGAGAAACCCTTGTGTCGGCTCTGACAGTTCCGGAAAGATTTAGAGTGGAAAGATGGGATTCTCAAGAGTGTGAGAACAAGTGTAGGAAAACAAACATGTGAGAGCAATTGCGAGACTGTGACACCTCCATTTTTCGAGACTGTGTGGTGTTTTCATAATGGAGGCAGCAAGACAGATGGCGTGGCAGTGAATTTGGGGCGGTTCACGCCTTTGGGGAACTGTGCCCGCATGTTGCAGGAGTGCCCTTGCTAAAAGAGGATGCACCAAAAGGTGGGGGGAGCTTGAAGGACCTGCTGCTCCATTGGTTGGAGTCTTGGCTTCAGACAGTAAAGAAGCAAGTAGAGAAGGAATGAAGTGAAGTGGAACTAATTCCTGTATATAGTATATACTGTATATATATAATACTTAGATTCTAGATGATCTTAGATCTAACTCTACTTACACGGGAGCTACACGTGCCACTGGAGGGCATATACGGTACCTTCCTTCATGCCATTAATTTTTCTCAGGTTGTTGGATCTTTGGTAAGCTACCACGACTAGCTCCTTCAGTCTTTGCAGGGAAGTTCATGCTGAGTTCATGCTGCAGTCTTGCATGTGCATGTAGTGCTGCATGTCCGTGCGAGCCACATACAAAAAGGTAGACATTTGGGAGAACAGGGTACCCTAGAAAACCAAGAAACGCATTTGTAAAGTAATTAAGCTATTGGAAAAGTACTATATAAGCATAAGTGAATAGACACACATCCAGGTGCCAGGTGTATGGGTGCCAGGTGTATGCGCCTTCACGTCAATAGCAACTCAATGGGGAGCGTGCTGATCTTGCGGCAAGTGTCATGCTGCTTGCTCCGTTTGCCCATGGGGCCGATGGGATTCGTTCAAGTGTATCATAGGTCACTGAGACATTTTGAGCAACTTGCTGTTCGCGCGTCTTGCCATCCTGCTGTTCTGCGCAATTCTGAGGTTGTGTTTCTGTCAATTGCACTTGTACAACTATAGTGCTTGCACTGTAGTTTTCTGGTGATCCTGGCTGGAACGGGCCGAAGTTCGCTTGATCCACCAGCCGGCTCAGCCGTTCCTTCGAATCGGGTCTTCGTGGGCCCTAGGATGCCTACTACGTGGCACTCCTGCCGGCGGCACTTGGACGAAGCGGAGTCAGTTACGGCGGGGTTCGGTTTCGGTATCCAAAGCAGCGGGCCACTGTTGTTGGTATTTTGGAGTTGGTTTTCAAGGAGCTGGACTCTTCCTGAGACTCAGAAAAGCCAAGGTCCAACGCCTTGTGCAAAAAAGCTTGGATTGGTTTGCAATTGCTGCAGAAGTATATGTTCTATATACATGAGGATCCTCATTTGCTGTTACCTTCAACAATACTTCAGCTCAGGGACCATCAGAGCTGAGAAACGGCATTGAAACACGGCCCCCAAAGACCTCCTAGAAGAGGACAATTAGATACAAATAAACTCTTGTATAATTACCCCTTTGGGCAGTTCTCCGTATTCCAATACATCTGGAAGACATATATTTGTGCCGGACATCACCGATGATGTCTTTGTCACCTACCATGTCATGTTGAACTTGTGAACCAAGTAGAGGCAACTGCCGAGGCTTGATGATGGAGGACACCCAAAACTTTGAAGGTTGAGGGATGGTGACTTCCAGGACACGATTCATACTCCATCTCCCCATGTTCCACCCAGCCGTTTTGGGCCGGCTGAAAGCGGGTCTCAAGGCTCCGTACCTGACTTACCTTGGCACCTTTCTTTTCGTGTTCATCTTCTTGATGTCAGCTGTCAACAAAGTGAAGGACCGGACTGGACCCTGTCGTTCGCTGGGGGGGGCACGGTTATGAGGCGCCAGGACTTGTTGCTCTTGTTGTTGCTACAGTCAGCCGCTACTGTAAACTCGTCAGGGTGAGTTTGGAGTTTTGGTGTTTCTGTGGCGCCAGTGGGGCTTTGAATGAGTTTGGCTTGATGAGAGCTCAAGGTGTAAGCTGAACAAGATAGCCCCTCACGATTCCCTGTCAGAACAGAGTGCTCTTCAGGGGAGCTTGGGTCCGATCTAAACACGTGCGTTTGACCCGTGAGAAGCGGTGAATTGGTGCTTAGGATTGGGAGCAGACCTGGTCATGCACCTGCTTCGAGTCGCCCAGGTTGTGGGAGTGGTCACCGCCCATTTCCCCTGAAGTCATCGCCGGCTTGGCGTTGCTAAGTCGGGGCCAAGTGGTGTTTCGTTTCCCTCCATGCAGAAATCCAGTTGACCCTCTGGGATGTCAATATTCAATGTCTTATCTACAGACTGAGTCACGCAAAGCAATACTACATCTCACTGGCTTCCACATTCTACACATGAACGAGTTGGGGAGAAGGGAGCGCAACGTGGCGGCAACTTCAGAAACATGGACAGATTCCTGAGGTCTACTAGTTTCGAGCTTCAGTCTTGGGAGCGCATGAGGCAACTCTGCATGCTTTGTTTAAAGAGTCTGGTCTCACCACTCCTTGTGTTTCGCCAGAACTTCTCCGGCACTGTGGGGGCCTCAGATGGAGACGCTTTTGGACTGGCCTGGACTCGACGTCAGTTGGGTGCCTGGCAAGAAGCGTGTATTATCTGGATAGAGGGAGTGTACTTTAGCATACTTTAGCCATCGGGATCAACCATCTACTCGCAGACTGCCAGAGATACCATGAAGATGGCATGATACTGGGGCTTGGTGTCTCCTCTCTCTCTCTCTCTTTGCGGCTCAGATGAGTTCCGAAGATCCGACCAGTTCTGCCAGTCCGGTGTTCGGTGTGCCTTTTGGTCTCGCCCGTCCGGCGACGGTCTTGGATTGGAGCCAATGCTCGTTGTGTTTCATCGTCTAGACCATGGTTTCACCACACCATCCGTCCGATTGTTCGGCCGAAATAACAAACTCATCGCTTTCTTGACAGTCCTGACAATCGACGCAGCAGCTAGGTGAAGATGGTAGAGGGCATGGGCGTTCCGTGCCCTGGCTGAACAGAAAGTGGAAGAGTTGATGAATCTGAACAAGTTACTTATATACATTGGCTGAATCAGGGCTTGCAGGGGATTTTGCAGCCACATGGGGGGCCTGGGGCTTTGACTGTAGGCAAGACCAACATCTCACTAAGGCTTGGATGCCGAATGTGAGAACTTGCCCTCAATGAAGTTCAGTTTGGTTATTGTGAAGGGGCATATCCTGCCTTGCCAACCACATTCCAGTGACTAAAGTGGGTGCCAGCCTCAAGAGGGATAGCCATGTAAAGCCTGGCTATGTTCAGCAATGAAAGGTTGGCGTTCAAAAAGCGAGAGGTCGCCCTGAAAAGCGTCCATCACCTTGTTGAATCAGGTCCTTTTTAGCAAAGCTGGCCTCAAACCAATCAAGAATCAAGGCAGGTGACTTGGGAGTTTGCACCCTCATGCTTTGGGGCAGTGTTTCAGCTCGGTGCAGCAGCTAGGTGCCCCACTGTGAGCACCATTGCTTGCATCCTGGACATTTTTTTGGGCAGCATTTTGTACCTTACAGGCGCAGACAAAGGGAACGAACGCATCGTCAGATTGCCAAGACCTTGGACATCTCTTTACTCTTTACTATGATCGTGAACCACTGCCTATGGGGTATTTCCAATTTTTGCGCCTCGATGACAAGGGATATGAAACAGATGTTTGCTGTGATGTCGATGGTCAAAGCTGTCATTGGGAGTGTGGAATGGTGGCTTAACCTGATCAAGTCGACCTAACCAGTCAGCTATTCACTTTGGCATGGACTGGTGAGCAGAGAGACACCCCAGTGGCCATCCCTGGCGCCAGTCCTGAGAGGTGTACCTGTCCTCATGGAATGGGGTGCTGAATTCCTACTGATCTTCTTGACGCTTGGCGAAAGGGGAGCGAACTGGGAAAACCTAGTTTCCCACTTCAAGTTGAGTGGTACTCCATTTTGGCACAGAGCTCAACTGGCAACATGGATGAGAAAGAATGGGCAGGGAGATCCGGTTTGAGTTTCAATACACCGAGTTTCCCAACTACAGGAATTACAGGATGACTTGGTACGGTATGTGTAGGGCAGAACCACAAAACACGCAGAGTTTGTTCAGTCAGAGAGTTGCATTTGCTCAGAAAGTGCGGCACACGAAACCGTGGGATAAGATCCAAGACCCGTATATATTTGGATTGGAAGCTTTGTGACAGAAGCCTTATTCATGATTCAACACTTGCCAGTGTCTTAAACCAGGACCCTGCAGATGTATAAATAATATTTTTTGCATGCATTCGGCATTCGATGTTTTCGTTGTCTTTGTTCGTAGCCGCAGTTGCCACCTGACGTCTTTGTTGTGTTTTGGCATTGTGCTGCTCGATTGTAGAACATGTCTTTGCTTATATAATCATACACATATATATATATAGTATCTACTATACATACATCGCTAACACCTTCATGCACAGGGTACGAATCAAGGGGCATGTAGGGTATGAAGATTTGACTGTCTGCACGCGAGAACCCTAAAGGTGTAGTAGGCTGACATCCTTGGTGCTGGTAGTTCGATTTTCTTCATAGTCGGAGGTTAACCAGGGTCCCACGTTTTTTGGATCCATTATGATCTGCTGGACACGACTCTATGCCTTTTTGCGTACTGTATAACCTCTGAAGAAAGCACACCTGGCACCTGGGGCTCTTTGAACTGGTGAGTTTTTGAGCGAAGTCGCCGCATATTGGTCCGACCACGGAGACACCTACGAAGACATGCAGGGCTGCTGGACACAAACGCCGAGGCTCTTGGCAAGTTACTATGGACACTTCAAGCCCTGGATGCAAACCAAGGAGGAATTCCACACCGATTCTTGGCCGCCAGACAGTCTGACAGTCAGCTGCGTCCCAGCTGAGCCCCAAGGCCAGGGCCGCAAACGCAGACCTGGGAGGTGGAAAGCATGAAGTGGGTTATTAAGTTTTGGGTCCTTTTCTCCGAGGTTTGTCGAGGTCCATAAGAGCTACAAGGGGCTGATAGGGTGGCCACCCGGTTTAAAGACGCTAGTTTCAGAGTTCCAGACTTGTTCAAGGAATTTCAAGGATTAACATCTGACGTAGGCAGAAACATTCAGACACTCAGAACATCTCACGACTGTCAATGCGCTGATGTTTTGCTCAGAAATCCTGCGGGACGAGCAAGTTGTTTCCTGATCGTATTCACATCTATTTTTTTTGACGATGCTTGTTGAGGTCCGTGACCGCCAGCAGAATTTACAACATTTCAGATATATACAATACCACTTACACAATACATCACAATACTACACACATATATATATATACACATACCTATATACTTCTCTCTTTTGAGTGTTTCGCTGTTCTTTGCGGTGGAACCTCTTTGTCTCCCTTGAACCACCGTGTTTTCATCGTTTCTGAGGAGATGCTGTTGAAGAACTTGGCGCTCATGGGACAATGTTTCTTGACCATCGGCTTCGAGGTGCAAGGGTGCGAGCTACGAGCCCGGGCCCGCGGGGGGTTTGCTCGGGTGACTGGTTGAGAACACCCTTGGCCCTTGGCTGGCTATTCAAGGCGGATGCGGACATGGGTTTCTTTGTTGATGACGGTATCCTCTTGTTTACAATCAGGTTCCATAACTGTTGTAAGTTCTAAATTTTGACAAAGTGAAAGCTCAACATGGATGCTCAACACCTGACAGACTGAGATCTTAGTGACCTTAGCCATGTTTTGCTTGAGAGTGACTTTTCGGTACGAATGTGATTGCAATGCTAAATCAGCTTATGATTGAAGTGAATCTTTCATTTCCAGTCAGCTACATGTGTCTTTCACCCTTTCGCCTTTCACTAGGATGGTGAATGAAAGGCAACTGCATGCAAATGCTAGGTTCTTCTTTGTAGGTGGAGGAGGATACAGCGAGTCAGCAATCCCAAGACTGCTTTAGATGATGACGGTCTCTTTCACAAATCTTTTATGGTTGTTGCCTTCCGTGTTGTCGATAGGCAAAACTGACTGATTCAATGTTCCTTTAGCTCCGGATTCAAATCATTGCCCCGGCTACAGTGTTTTAGCATGTTTGAGCTCTTGGGCTTTTTTGCTCAGCTAGTCAGAGTTCCTCCTATCCCAAATGAAGAAGTGCTTCTCACGTGGTAACCTGGTGCCCGCCCTGACCGGGCACCGACCTTTCCGCCGCTCTTCCACCACTCCGGAGGTCCCGGAGATCGGCAAGGACGGGACGCCTCTGGGGCTGCTCCTCGGCGAGCGCAGCTCCAGCGCGGAGCTCCCTTCGGCCCGAATGGTAGATTTCGATGGCCGATGAATCCCAACAGAAAACACAGAAAACAGCCGGTATGCATTGTAGCAGGGAGATTCCCCCATTAAATGGGGCTTTGGTCTATTTTCATTCTTCCAGGAGGTCTTTGGGGAGGTCTCCCTATTTAAACTCACACCCATATGGAGATGTAAAATCATTCTGGAAGCGGGGGCTTCATAGATCAACAGTGAACAGTCATGGTAGTTCAAGTCCTTTTGCGCAACTGGCTGGTTGGCATCTGAAGTCCCAACCATTGCAGCCATCCCAGGCTGTGAAGTGCGTTTTGTATCTTTTTGTCACATTAGCACCAGTGGGTTGGTTGGGTGTCAGAAGAGGAATTCCACGTCCAAATGGTGGGACACACGGCTTCCGAAGCACTTCTCAGAACCACCAGCCACTTGGTTTTGTGAATCGACCAACCAACTGACCAACGATGCGGGTTACTTTGGGTCCACAGAAAGCCGATCTTCCGAGGAACAACAAGGTTTGACGATCTGAGGAGGGGAGCAAATGAGAACCACATAAGGCTCACGATGTTCAATGGACTTTCGATTATTCAACGGAATCCATGTATGTTGAGGTCTCTAGAAATATGTTTCTTGATTGGATTGGCTGTTCTGAATCCAAGGTGCTTTTTTGTGCCACAAATGACGCTAAGGGGTCTGTTTGGGCATCCCCTCTTGTCAGGCCAATGGTCGGGGCAGATTGAAGTTCAAGTTCTGATGATCTAGAGATTCAAAGTGAACATGGTTCGGTTTTGGGGGACTTGCCCCTGGTGCTTGGTGTTTTCCTCAGCAAGCTCTTGTAAAGAGCAAGGAATGCCCGTGGGCATTTTCTTGGAGAACACTTTCCATGTGCCCAATCATGCTTGCTCAGCTGGGATCGCTCAGCTGGCGCAATCGAGGAATGGAGCTCTGGGCGAGTTCGGAGAGGTTTGCGGGAAGATCTATGGTTGCTGAGCTGAATTGTGAATGGTCAAGTGGGTCACCGACCCTTGTGGCCGAAGGGGAAAACGACTTGTTCGTTGAAAGCTTCAAACAGTTCCTGCGAACGCACAGATTCCGGCCGTAAAGAGTCATAGCCATAGCTGTCATAGCTTGAGTGCAAGTTCGCAATGCCAGATGGATCAGAACCCTTAGGAGACCGACTACAGCTCCAGCTGTGTGTTTCCATTGGCAGCGTTTGGAGCACCTACAGGTTTCAAGAGAACACAGGCTCTAAATACGAAGTGGTTAGGCCAGAACACCTCAACTTTCGTACCGTGTACGGCTCTCCTTCATGCTCGTTTCGGTCGGACATCAGTCGATCGGGATCCTTTAGGACCGAATCTTGACATAACGACCGAACAAAGTCCATGGTGCGGTTCAGCCTCGACATTTTTATTTCGGGTTGCCGACCATCCTCAACAGATTCCCATGTGGTGATGTAGATTTTGTCGGGGATCAGGGTGTTTGTGTCAACAACCTATCGAGGATGTTTGCTCCCTTGACAGCAGGATGTTTGTGCATCTTGGTCCTCCAGCTGTTCAGGCTCTTAACAATCTTGCAACCACAGAGGGCACTCAAATCCGTTTGCTCGGAAAACGGTCGACCCGGTGGCGGTCGAGTTGAAAACACACTAAAGAAGGCAAACGAGATCAGAAGGATCGTGTGATTCTTATTCGTGGTAGCAAGAGGTAGGGCAAGTCCAAGACTCTCAAGTTGGTCATCATATGGATGAGTTCGACAGCCTGAGCAGTCGACTCAGTTGGCCCTTTTCTCACAGGTGGTTCCCCCTCCCCCAAAACCAGGTCTCCATCATTCTCCATCCATTTTTGTTGACACCTCTTTTAGAATTGTTTTTGAGCCACCCCCTCCCCAGCAATCTGGGGGACTGGCTCCCGCAAGCCGAGGTGTCCTGAAGCCCTACTCCTACATTTTCAAGTACTGCGGGATCTTGATGTCGCTCAACACTTCTTGTTGTTTCTTGTACACACACTCAATACCGGGTTGGCTCAGCCCACAAGTACAGGTGCGACATGGCCGATGCGACAAGTTCATCCGCGGGGTGTAGCCGTTGAACACAAGAATACTGCTGTGGCCGAAAAGCCAGCAGTTCAAGCATATGGATAGGCCAAGCTGTGTTCAGGACGAACTGATGAGAAGACTGCTTATATACTACCAGCTTTGAGCACCGTCTGCAGAGGTTTGTGTTGATCTTCCTCTTTGCCGGAATGAAACACCTCATTGACTTCAAGGGAACGGCTGCTTGGGACAAGGGCAGGAGGTTCCTGACGGGTCAGAGAGCCTCACTTGGATCAGTGGTATCGATCCGCATGCGGATCAGAGCTGACCCCCTTCATGTGCATGCTGCATCATGCAGATATGTTTTCTTAGGGATGAACTTCAATTCAAGTTGGAGTGACAGGCATTTTCTATTCGTTTCAGCAAGAAAGGCGGTGATACCATCCACAGCTCCCCGACGAACTGGGCAAGGAGGGATCCTTCCAAGTGGACTAGCAGCCACACCCAGCATGAGCAAGCGGCAAGACCATGTCTATCATTTTGTAGCCCAGAAGCCATCACCTGATTCTTGACCAAGCATCTGGCATCTGAACTCAAGCTGGAACAGCTGCAGATTACCATGTGGGCCCTCGAAACAACTAGACAAATGACCTTGTTGGTTCCTCAATCTGGACATTTTCATCAACGGCTCCATGCCTGTTTGCGGCTTGCAGATTTCTTTCTTGGAGTGAGACTCGGGACCTGTATGACATCAGCAGTTCGAAACGTCACTGAGCCATGCTACATATGACGAAAAACAAAACAAACAAACATGCAGACCACGGTTGTTAAATGGTTGCTACAAGATGCTACAAGCGTATCTCAGTAGCCTGACTTTCCCACAAGGGATGAAGCTCTCGCAGTGGCTCAGGTGGAGATGAACAAGCATCTTGGCATTCCGCTGCCGACCATCTCTGCCCTCATGGCTGTCCTCTTGCTCTTGAGCGCTGGGGAAGGGGAGGTTGCACACTAGTGATGGTCGTTCAAATGGATTCGACTCCAAGCAACTCACCGGACCAGGTGATAACAACTACCATTCGTAGTCCCATTTGCCAAAGGGCGTTGAATGCGACTTTATGTTTGAAACCCATCCATACCAACCATAGAGTGCTGAGGGCAACATGACGGAGATTCCTAGGCATCCGTAATCCGCAGTCGATCTTTTTTGAGCAAATCCTAGATACTGGTATATATATATGGTCACCCCCCCCACGACCCCCCCGACATGCTGTTTGTATTGTAATTTACAGTGTTTTATGCATATATTGTGTATCACAAAATAAGCAAAAAAATGCTACATGGTACCCTCCTTCACTAATATTCAGCCTCTTATATTATATGCTTCAAAATACAAGAAAAAGAATACCACAGCAAAACCAAAAAAAACAAAAAACCAGCCTCATTGGAGATCTTGGGGAGGGCCCCTTGGACAAAACCAAAAAAAACAACAAAACCAAAAACCAAAAAAAACAAAAAAATCACCTCATGGGAGATCCTCCTATCCTCATAGTTTGTTTTCTTTTTGGGGGGTTTTTGGTCTTTTTGTGTGTTTGTTTTTTTGTTTTTTGTTTTTTTTTTTAAAATGTTTTTTGGATATCCTCTTATCCTGATGGTTTTGTTTTTTTTTTGTGTGTTTTTTGTTTTTTGTTTGTTTCTTGTCTTACCTTCTATCGCCCAAAAAACCGAAAACTGTGATGTTGGCGCAGCCTTAGTCCATCAACCCTCGTTTGCTCTTTGTTCTTCTTTCCTTGCCATGGCTTTGGTGCATTGCGCAATTGCTGCGGCGAAGCCGAAGCAATCTCCGAAAGACGACTGGGAGTACCTTATCTGAATAACTGCTTGCCAAGCAACACTTATCTCAAATTCACATCACTGCCTGCATTCAAGTCTACAAGCTTTATCTATTTTTCATTCCATACCAGGTCGGACAGTATGGAGATGGACACCAGCGACGCGGAGCATCTTGTCTAAGCATGTTTGTTTGGCATTCTCTGGCCTATAGCCTTCTGCTCATGTCACCCCATCTCAGGCTGGACGCCATGGACGTTGATGTCAGCGACGGGGAGCCTCTTGGATAATCCGCGGTGTGATCTGCATAGGGCACCTTCCTTGCACACCTGTCACCTCGCACGCCTCAGGTCTGACTTTGTAGGTGACGTCGGCAACGTGGTGCCTATGACTCCGCCGCACCTTTGGGGGAGATGGTTGCAGGGCGTCTTGATTTCGCCATTGCCCGTCACTCCTCCGTTTTCACCGCCTCCCGAGGCATTTTTTCGTGGTACATTTCCGGCCTCCTCCCCCAGGTGCTTTACCGGCCACCCCTCCTGAAGCCTTTGTGACCACTTCCCGTGGCATGCTTGTGGGGGCATAGTGGACTTGCAAGCCCCACTTGACAAAAAGATACTGTCCGACCTGGTATGGAATGAAATAGATAAAGCTTGTAGACTTGAATGCAGGCAGTGATGTGAATTTGAGATAAGTGTTGCTTGGCAAGCAGTTATTCAGATAAGGTACTCCCAGTCGTCTTTCGGAGATTGCTTCGGCTTCGCCGCAGCAATTGCGCAATGCACCAAAGCCATGGCAAGGAAAGAAGAACAAAGAGCAAACGAGGGTTGATGGACTAAGGCTGCGCCAACATCACAGTTTTCGGTTTTTTGGGCGATAGAAGGTAAGACAAGAAACAAACAAAAAAAACAACAAAAAAGCCAAAAAAGCCAAAACCATCAGGATAGGAGGATATCCAAAAACAGAAAACAAAAAACACACAAAAAAAGGACCAAAAACAACAAAACAGAAACAACTATGAGGATAGGAGGATCTCCCATGAGGTGATTTTTTTTGTTTTTTTTTCCAAGGGGCCCTCCCCAAGATCTCCAATGAGGCTGTTTTTTTTGTTTTTTTGGCTTTGCTGTGGTATTCTTTTTCTTGTATTTTGAAGAAGCATATAATATAAGAGGCTGAATATTAGTGAAGGAGGGTACCATGTAGCATTTTTTGCTTTATTTTGTGATACACAAAATATGCATAAAACACTGTAAATTACAATACAAACAGCATGTCGGGGGGTCGTGGGGGGGGCTCGCATGCACCCTGTCACCAGGAGAGCGGTGACAGGAGCGCATGGGACGCGCTGGCCTTAAGGGCTGCCAGCCATGGTCTACTCACACACCCCACTTCAAGGGCGGCGACGCTGCTTCGCGGTGGCGCTTTCGAAACCACAAATAGAACATGGCCTGCCATCAGGCGGCAGCACTGGCGGTGGCGCTGGATGAGTAGGTGTTTAGCTTTGCCCCCCACCACAGCGATACCCTTTGGCCTCTGGATCTGCTTGGAAAAGGTTGTCACCCCCCCGCAGCTTTGATCCTTTTGGGTTGGCCTCACCCTGCTCAGTTGCGAGCATGCTGTTGTGCCCACCTCGCATGCACCCCGACATCAGGAGAGCGGTGACAGGAGCGCATGGGACACCTTAAGGGCTGCTAGCCATGATCTACTCAATATATGTATATATATATGTATGTATATCTATTTATGTATGTATATCTATGCATATACATGTATAAGTTCCGAATCCTGCATTTTGTGTCATTCGGCGTGAGAGTACTTGCCTTTGAGTGATGGTTCTGTGTACCACATTCCCATCCAACCCTCCAAAACGAATTATGTATTCATCACTTTAACCTGCTGGTGAATGACAGCAGCTGTCCAGGAAATAGCCATTGACAACTCCATGTACAGAGACTTACAAAGAGGACAAAGTTGATTTTCCCATCTTGGTTGCATGCACATGGAGACCTGAGTGTTGTGATGTGCAAACGTACTATTACTGTAAGGTGCTTGTTCATGGACTGTGGGAAAGCAGGGATGTGATGGGATACGTGGATTCGTTGGCTGAGACGACTGAAGAGAATCTCCCGATGGCTTGCAAGGCACATCCAGTGGTCCTCCAAGGTCCTCCTATTCTCAGCATGCCACCCCAAAGTGGACAGAAACTTCATGGTGGTGAGGTGAGGTCCCTGTGCTCATCGCTCGACATGACCATTTGCTCGTTTTCACCAGGAGTGGGTCATTCCTGTACTTGACAGGTCGCCCCGCCACTCGACGGAAGTCACGGAAGTAACGGTCGTTGTTGTTGTGTTTGGGGAAACTGCATGCCAGAGCAGCTGCAAGTCTGAAAACTCCTTTTGTGTTCGCATTGCTTGGAACCAAAAACATTTTGGATGCATCTGGTGGTTGTTGAAACGCATAGCCAGGTTTTCACAGCCATAAAGTTGGAACACAAATTTGATCAGACCTGATTTGTTGTACTGATGAGGTCCCACCACACAAAGCACTCACAAAGTAGATCGTAGGTCTTTGGATGTTCAGATCACGATGAAGACTTCCTACGACGATTTTGATACAAATCAACCCAGCAATACGTTGGGGGGCCGTGTTGCCAGGCCCAATCTGACAGCGGAACAAGCGGGTCAATCATGAATGGATGCCAAACTAAAAGGGTTGCTTCTCCCAACACCCATGCCTCGGGGAGAACGATGAATTGCTCTAGCGCACTCCTTTAGATTGAAAGAAGGACGCGCGTGGAATGCTGTTCAGGATTTGATAAGGAAGATATTTCCAGTACACATGTTTCGAGTGTTTTCACCAGGTGAAGATGGTGAAGTGGGTGCCCTTCAAACATGGAGGAACCAAGTGCCCACAAACACCAGATCCATCGTTCCCGGAGAGTGCAAGTCCATCTCTCCCTTGTCCGGGTGCGAAAAGCCAGGGAGACACTGGAAGATATTGATCATAGACAAACATGCGGGCTTTTGGATCCTTCTGAAGTTTGGGTTTGGACATGAAGAGCCATTAAATCATGATCTCCTCCCAGTATTTACATTGGAGTTTCCCCCGCTCGACTGCAAGACAAACAGCAAGAATCAAAATCTATGGTGAAGGCAAGGGCCCTTGGGTCCTTCTCGCTTTTGCACTTCTTTTCCCAGAGAGTGCCTTGTGCTTGCATCACATGTCCTCTTGTAACGATTCTGGTGGTTTCCTTTGACTTCCACCAAGCACGGGCAACACGAAGCGTCTGGTTTTGCGGGTAGCTGTGATGCTGGGAGGTCTTCATGGAAGCTGGTGCAGAGGTGATTCTCTTGTCCCTTGGTTCTGGGGCAGAGGAGAATGACCAACTCGTTTTACTGCATCTTGCTTCACCCGTTTCCGAAAAGCAAGTGCCATTATCCCAGAGGGACCCTTCCTGATGATGACTGTTGCCATCTCTGCAGCTGGTTGTTCTCAGTTGGACTACCTTGCTCAGGACATTTGGACGCTGTTTTCCAGCCCCACCTGTAGCTGCCACATTGGGAAGAATGGATGCAGGATATGCAGCACATTTGTTGGTGACAATTGAATGGGTATGGGCCGGGTATGACGCCATTATGGGGCCAGTACCTATTATGGACAAGTTTGAGAGTGAGGAGCATCAAGTTTCTCAGCTTCTTTCAATTTGGTGTTCACCATTGTCATTGTGACTGTGTTTCGACTCACATCCGAAAAACTAGATGCTGCAGCAACCAGGTCAAAGGTCTGACAATGAAGGGTATACTCACGGGTACTTCTGATCATTTTCAACAGGTCCCCTGCGTTTAAACCAATTGCGAGTTAACATTGACACAGCCTCACTTGCACTCCCTCGAAAAGCCATTGGCTGCAGAAATCATGGGACCTGGTTTCCCTGCTAATCGAAGATAGCTTCACCTCACAGAGCATCATCTTCCTAGCCGTAAACCTTCTTTGTCTTGCTACAATATGATAATATGAGTCTTCCGCATCCCCACATGTGTGATCCCAAACCGCCTGAGATCCACCATCCATCCGAAGAAGTCCACGCTGCGCCGGCGTGCCGGTCCTTCGTCCGGTGCCGGTCGAGGTTCCTGATCATCTCCACGATTCCGGGTCACCTGAAGCCACTCCGGGAGACAGGCGACACGGTCTATCACCCGCTGTAGACGGTCTATCGATCCAGTGATGCCTGTATTCAAGAGGTGGAAGAAGTTTAAGCATGTTCTCCAAGGGAGGGTTAGCAGAAGTTCCTAAGACGTGTTAAGGTGGAAAAGATGCAGTCGTGGGAGATTTGGTTGTGATCCTTCTTTTTAGTACAACGTCTTTGGAGGGAGAGAGAGAGAGAGAGGGAGAGTGCGAGTCCAAGTGGGCTTGATTGCAAGTTCGTCAATTTTTG